CACTTGTTATAAATGAGAAAATTTAGCTCGATGTTGCGATCTCCTTATGCGAGATCTATGTTTGGATCGGGTTGCGCGCCGCAACAGTGTGATAGTTGAGTATAGGTTGTCTACATGTTTATTTTTTGTACGTCTCGCTTCCTATTTTCTAAGGAAAGTCCGTATTAGTGCAGGAGTTAGGTAATTCCTTCCAGAGTTCGTTTTCATTGTATCGTGTTCGAATTGGTAGCTATGGCACATTGTGGCGTCATTGTGACTTTGATTATGTCCGGGTGTGGCTTATTGCGCTGAGCAGTTCGTACTGGTGAGATGAATCATTGGATTTAGGAATCAGTGCAATCTGACTATATGAAGTACATTAAGAAGCTAAGACCATTATTTGGTTCAGAATGAGGTGATGGTTTATTGTCAGGAGTATAGACCAAATGATTGGTTGATTCGGCAGTTGATTATGAATTTTTGCACATCTCTTCCGTTGTGGCGGCATTGTAAGAGTTAGAGTAAGGCCTGTGTATGTCATGGGTGCATGGAGCATCAGATTAGTAGGATTTAGACTAAGTTGATCAAGAAAAAGGTATTATGGTCCGGTGAGTAAAGTGATGCTAGGTATGAATTCAGCAAAGTTATGCAGCTAATGTTTGAGCAGCGTGTTGGTGATTAAAAATGGTGACCTTATGGTGGAAACAGGTCGGGCATATAATTCCGGATGTTGGAATTGGGCCTTTAAGGCGTATCTGCTTGAAAAAAAAAGAGTATTCTTCAGAACTGATCGAGCTAATGTGCTCAACTGAGTTGTGGTAGCACGGGAAGGCGCATGAGAAGTTAACCAGTGATTTCAGACTACTTCAGCGTAGTTCTCAGCACGTTCGAGGACGAACGTAAGTTTAAGTGGGAGAGAATGTAACGACCCGACCGGGTCGTTTTGAGTCCTTAGCGCTCCGTTCAGCAGCCCAGCACGGGCAGCCTCATTTCAGGTATTATGACTTGTGCGGGTGGTCGGAATTGAATTTCGGAAGTCCAGAGTTGTTTTGGAAAGAGAATTCTCATTTCGGAAGCTTAAAGTTGAAAGAATGAAAGGATTTGAATTTTGAGTAAACGGCCTCGGAATCGGGATCTGAAGGTTCCAGCGGGTTCGTATGATGATTTCGGACTTGGGCGTATGCCCGGATCGGGTTTTGATGACCTGGGAGCGTTTTGGCGGCCCTATTGTGGAAGTTGCATTTTAGAAGAAATTTCATAAGTTTGGCTTGAAGTGCAATTTCAGTGTTATCGATGTCCGTTTGGGATTCCGAGACTGTGAATAGCTTCGTATGGTGATTCTGGAGTTGGGAGCGCATCGGAAGTGAATTCGGAGGTCTATAGTTTTTTGGAGTCATTTGGCAAAGATAGAAATTTGAAGGTTTTGAGGAGTTTGACCGGAAGTGGATTTTTATTGATATCGGGGTCGGAATCCGATTCCGAAGTTGCAAGAGGTCCGTAAAGTCGAATATGACTTGTGTGCAAAATTTGAGGTCAATCGGACTGATTTGATAGGTTTATACATCGGAAGTAGAAGCTGAAATTTCGAAGTTCATAAAGCTTGAATCGGGGTGTAATTCATGATTTTAGCGTTGTTTGATGCAATTTGAGGCCTACGAGCAAGTCCGTAATGTGTTTTAGGATTGGTTGGTATGTTTGGTTGGGGTCCCGGGGGCCCCAGGTGGATTCCGGGTGGTTAATGGATCGAAATTTGGATTTTTGGACAGCTGAAGGAATCTGGTTGCTGGTATTTTCGCTTCTGCGGTGGGTTGACCGCGCAGAAGCGGCACCGCAGAAGCGGACAGGGAGCCGCAGAGGCGAGTTTTGGTCCAAGGCTTGAGGACCGCAGATGCGGTCAAGGTACCTCAGAAGCGGAACCGCATCTGCGGAGAATGAGTCGCAGAAGCGGATGAGAGTATCTTGGAGAGAACCGCAGATGCGGTCAAAGGTCCGCAGAAGCGGGACCGCATCTGCGGGTGGCAAGTCGCAGAAGCGAGAAAGGGGTGGCTCAGGAAAAACCGCATATGCGGCATTTTAACCGCACCTGCGGAACCGCAGAAGCGGCCAAGGAACCGCAGGTGCGGAAACAGCTGGAGCAGTGAGGTCTTTTAAGTTCGGGGTTGAGTTCATTTCAACCCCATTTTTCTTCCATTGGAGTCGATGGGGAGCAGCTTTGAGGTGCCATTTTCGTCACTTGTCATGAGGCAAGTAATTTATGCTAGCTCGGAGTTAAATACAAGGTTTATATATGGATTTAGACTTGGAAAATTGTATAAATTTGAGGTTTTGGTGGAAAACCTAGAAAATTAGTAATCTTGGAATTTAGCCACGATTTTGAGTATGGAATTGAGAGAAAATTATATATTTGAGTTCCTAAGGTCATGGGTAATCTTTATCTTCGAAAATTTTTGGATTCCGGGCACGTGGGCCCGATGACGTTTTGGTCAACTTTTCGATCGGAGTTAGGAATTGCTATAAATTAGTTTGTAATGAATATTTGAGCATAAATTAATGGATTTGCGTAACCGTTGGCTAGTTTTGGAGCATGGCGCATCAATTTGAGTCCCTGGAAGGGCATGGATTGTCGGTTATGGATCTTCGGAGCGAGGTGAGTCTCCTTTCTAACCTTGTAAGAGGGAATTGTCCCCATAGGTGAAATAACTGATTATGTGCTCCTGTTTGTGGGGGCTACGTACGCACGGGTGACGAGAGTCCGTGCGTAGCTACTATTATGCTATTGTCCGGGTAGTGTAGGACCCAAAAGCATGCTATACTTTGAATAATTGTAATCTTATGGATAGTTGAATCGCTTAAACCACATCCAAATAGTAAATGAATTTCTAACAAGATCTAAACCTCATTTTTGTAAATTGTTGAAAGAGAATTAGCTTTTCCTTGAATAATTGCCCCATGTTGGCTTCTTGATTGAATGTCTCCATGTGTTCATTTTGGAACGGGCCGAACGCCTCGGAAGATTAAATAGATGCATCTATAGGCGCGTCGTCGACCCTCGGCAAGTGCACAGTTTATTTCTGTTGGATCGGGCCGTCGCCTCAGTGTGATTTGCGAATGTTATATTGTTACTTGAGAACTGTAAATGTGAAAGTTGCCCTTCGTGGCTTGATATAAATTGAGAAGATAATAAAGAGTAAACCTTTAAAATCCTTGATCATTTGTTGAAGGCGTTTATCTGTTTTCTGGCTTCGTGAATTAGATTTGCTATATAAATCCATGATTTCCTCACATTTTTAGTATATTGTCAATTGACCTCTAGTGAGTGTCGAAGTTGACCATCTCGTCTCTACTTCTTCGAGATTAGGCGGGATACTCATTGAGTACACGTTGTTTACGTACTCATACTACACTTCTGTGCATTTTTGTTGCACAGGTATATTTATTTCTAGCAGCCACCGGGCATAGCAGCACGGATGATTTGGGGCTAGGTGAGTTGCACTATTCGAGGCGGCCCGCAGCTAGTATAGCCCTCATTAGTACATTGTATTTATTTCCTGTCCATTGTATTCCGGACGGATGTTGTATTTTACTTCCTTATCAGTAGATGCTCATGCACTTGTGACGCCGGGTTTTGGGATAGTTTGAAGTATTGTATTAACTGCTTAACATTTAAATTTGATTTGAGACTATATTCTTTAATATTGCTCAACTTGAAGGAAAATCATAGATTTCAGAAGTATTAAAACGAGAATTTGATTAAGTAACTTGGTTGGCTTGCCTGACAGCAGTGTCCGGCGCCATCACGATCCTTAGTGGATTTTGGGTCGTGACATAAAGCAAAAATAACAAGGGTGAACAGGAAACTCCCTGAAAGACCAAAGGCTGAAGCACTAGCAGCTCACGGGATACTCAGACTTCTCCCAGGTATGATCCCTTGTGCGGGTACCTCACACTTAGTTTCAACCTCCTGCACGCTTTTGCACATGCCTATTGGCTTTGACTCCATGCTCCTACTCCCACAAAACACAAAAATAATACTACAAAATAATAAAAATGAATTAAATAAACAAAAATAAAAGAAAGCAGTAAAGTCGGGTTGCCTCCCAACAAGCGCCTAATTTAACGTCGCGGCACGACGTGAACCACTTTTTCCTCCACCTCGAACATATGAATTGTACCCCTAACACGGCATCTAGTCTGCGGCTATGCTCCAGTGGTGGGCTACAATGATAACCAGGCCAAGTAATAATTTTTTCACTCTGCACTTCTTGGCCTTTAGATGAGGAATGTAATTTTTACTTTTTGGAACAACAAATTCAAGAATATAGACACTCTCATACTGACCCTTTGACTCCCTCATAGGCTCAGATGGCTCGATTACTATCTTACTATCTATACACAATCTGGAAAAATGATTGGAATGAGGTCTAATGCGCCATAACTCATGAATTTTACTACTATTTGCATTCCTATCTTTACACATACTCAAGTCTCCCAAAGTAATGTTATCTACTCCCTCACATGACTCTAGAGCACTCTTCTCAATATTGGCATCCTCAAGAAAAACATGGTCTAATGATTGGTATTCTCGTTTTAGCTCCTCAATTTGGTCTAGAAGATTTTTTCAGCTTCACACAACTCATTATTAAATTGCTGGGCGTTACACGCATCAACCTTTGCACTTAAATCTGCATCTAAGTTATGTACAGCCAAGCCAAAATTATCAATTTTATGTGCAAGTTCATCTCTCTCCTTAGACCAATCATTTACCAACATTGTTAGAAGACAACGTCGTTCCTCATATTCCCTTAATCGTGAATATTCTTCCCAATACCAACCTTTACTCCCATATTCAAATTCAGACCTCTCGGAGTTCAGGTGATGACAAGCCCAAAAAGACGGGCTATAAAAGTCTTCCGTCAACCAAGCGTCTTCATCAATAACCTTACCTCCGGATATTTTATCCCCAGATGTCATGCTGAGAAAACTAGAAACTCACTAAAAGAAAAATCAGATTGTTATAAAACTAAAAATATTTACAAAAAGAAGAAAAATCAACAAAAACTTGTAAAGATAAAAGTAAAAGTCCAATCTAGAAAAATAGCTAATTTCTAAGTCCCCGGCAACGGCGCCAAAAACTTGTTGCGGCCAAACGCACTCACGCAAGTGCACGCGGTCGTCAAGTAATAAAGTGACTAAAAGTCGGATGTCGATCCCACGAGGACTTGTGATTAACCATTAACTAAATTAGACTATCCTGATTATCTAAACAAGAATTAAACCTAGAAGTAATTGATTCTAAACTAATTAAATAAAGAATATAAATAATGAACTTTAGACAGAGGAAGAGCAGATTTTTATGATATCAATGTAATGAAAACGATCTAGGGTTATGGGCTATCTAACATTCCTATTGTATTCTTCAAGTGAATTGACTAACTAATTTATCTAGTTTATTGGTTAACAGGGTTAATATTGCTCATAAGAATCTGTCGAGTTCTTACTCGCCTATTCAAGCTAACCTAACTCCTATATGTCTATGGAATTAGAATCAACAAGAACGCATTTATATTTCCTATAAATCAACCAAGCAAGACAATTAGGTATATGTCTATCCTAATTGCGAATCCATTCCCCGATGCCCAAGTTCAAGAACTTGCTCTACTCAATCCTATATGCAATCTAGAATTCCCACTTTCGAGTTCAACTCTAGATTCGTAGATAGTATTCAATTGGTGATCAAGCAATCAAATAATTAAGTGCAGGATTAAATAAATAAACCAATATTATAAACTAAGAAATCAAAATCAATATCCGAATAACAATATTCATGAAAGAACCACAACCCTAGAACGTGAAGTTTAGCTCCACATAGACATGGTAGCCAAACAACAAATCATACAAAGAAACATAAAAATTACTAAGTTTGGTGGAAGAAAAGATGAAACTCGGCCTCCACGACGGCTCTGTGCTTGTGTTTTACTCTCAAAAACATCCTCTCCTAAAGCGTGGCGTGTTCCTCCACGTCTAAAGTGTGTCCCTAGGTATGCGATGTGTTCAAAAGTATCTCCCCTCCCCCCCTCCCCCCCTAAAATAGTGTTTTACATGTATTTATTCCAAGTAGGGTCGGGCCCAGACTAAAACACCTTCTCCCGCGCGAAATAGGACTCTGGCTCTGTAAATTTTGTACAGCTGCGCCGCACCATGCGGCGCGCTAGTGGAAATTATCAGCAGCCTCAACTTTTCGCATCAGGCATCATTTTACACTGCTGCGCCGCGCCTTGCGGCGCGGCAGTGTAATTTTCTCATAGTGAACTTATTTCGTCCTCTTTTAACATCCGGACTTGGTACACGACCTCCGAACACGATCCCGGCTTAATTCCTTAGGCTTTTACTTAGACTTTAAAGCTCGAAATCACTTGAATTCATTCCATAACATCTACATAGCTCGGAATCACTCCTACAAGGCATAAAACACATATTTAGTGCAAAACACTAGCGATTAAAACTCAAACTCAATTAAAGTGTAGTAAATTAGAGTGTAATAATCGACTAAAATACGTAAGTATAGCCTATCATCATAGCACCATCAGAGGGAGAAAGAGAAGGCTGCAAATTCTTAAAATCAAATACCATAGAGGCCACTGGATTGAGGGGGATGCTAATATTGGCAAGGCAGCCGTCCATCACTTTCAACAGTTCTTTAACATCAATCATCACTATAATGATCATGACATTATCAACTGTATTCCTCAATGTGTAACTGATGCAGATAATAAAAGTCTCACTGCCATTCCTGACACAGAGGTTAGAGATGCTGTCTTCAACATGAGTCCTGACAGTGCAGCAGGGCCGGATGGATATAATGGAAAATTCTTTCAATCCTGTTGGGATATCATTAAGGAGGATATCACTGATTTCGTTCAAGCTGTTTTCATTGGCAGGAGGCTCACTAAATTTTTTTCTCATACTTGTTTAGTTCTTATTCCTAAAGTTGAATCTCCTAGTAGTTTCTCGGACTTGAGACCTATTAGTTTGAGTAACTTTACAGCCAAGATTATCTCCAAGATCCTTTTCAGAAGGCTGAATCCTATTCTTGGGAAGCTTATATCAGAAAATCAAAGTGGCTTTGTCAAAGGAAGATTGATTATTGAAAATATCCTTTTAGCTCAGGAGATTGCTCTGGGTGTGAACAAGAAGAACAGAGGAGGCAATGCTATTATAAAACTTGACATGGCAAAAGCTTATGATAGAATTTCCTGGACCTTTCTGATAGCAGTTATGAGGAAATTTGGTTTCTCTGAAAATTGGATTGACATGATCTGGGGACTTCTACAAGATATGGTACTCTATCATTATCAATGAGGCTAGAACAGGTTTTTTCACATCTACTCAAGGCCTCAAACAGGGAGATCCCTTATCCCCTTCTCTGTTTATTATTGGAGCTGAGGTTCTCTTTAGATCTCTAAATTCTCTAAATGAATTTATTGGCTTCACTCCTTTTAGCATGGATCCGAGAGGTCCGATGATCAATCATTTAGCCTACGCTGATGATATTATTATATTTTGTGGTGGAAACAACATGACTCTTAAGTTAATCAAAAAGGCTATTGACAGGTATTAAAAGGCTTCTGGGAAGAAAGTTAACAATGATAACAGCTTCTTTATTACAGCCCCTCACACCGGTGCTGCAAGAATCAATAGAATTAGGAATGCTACAGGCTATATGGACAAGTGTTTTCCTTTCTCTTATTTGGGATGCCCCATTTATTTTGGGAGGAAAACTAGCAATATTTTTAACGGTATGCTCTCTAAGGTGGTCAAGAAACTTAGTGGATGGAAAGCCAGTATGATGTCCTCTGCAGGGAGAATGATTTTGATTAAACATGTCTTACAATCCCTCCCCACATACATCATATCTGCTATGAACCCTCCTAAAGGAATTACTAAGCTCATGGAGAAACACTTTGCAAACTTCTTCTGGGGTAAAAATGAAGCTAGAAACAAATATCATTGGTCTTCATGGAATAATCTTTGTCTCCCCAAAGATGAGGGAGGAGCTGATGTCAGAAAAATGGAGGACATCATAGATACACTTAGCTTTAAAAGATGGTGGAGATTCAGAACTCATCCTTCCCTATGGGCCAACTTTCTCAAGAATAAATATTGCAAAAGAGCCCATCCAGTGAAAAAAAAGTTAAATCCCACTGATTCTCATATTTGGAGAAACATGCTCAAAATTAGAGACAAAGTCGAGGAAAACATTAGATGGGAAATACAAAAAGGTAATTGTAGCTTTTGGTGGGATAACTGGACAGGTAAAGGTGCATTGGCCAAAATCTTACAAGGTAGTGGGAGATCTTCTAAAGCTCAGGTGAAAGACTTCATAATTAATGGAGAATGGAATATTGTCAAACTCAACGATGTTCTCCCCGTGCATATTATGGATAGTATTGCTCAACTGGATATAGGAGACCCAAATGAGGATGATTTCCCTATTTGGACTACTTCTAATGATGGGAGATTTTCTTCTAACTCAGCATGGCATTCTATTAGATTCAAGAAACAGAAGAATATCTTCATAAACAAAATCTGGCATAATTCTCTCCCCTTTAAAATGTCCTTTATCTCTTGGAGAATTTTCAAAAATAGACTGCCTTTTGATGATGTTATTTGTAGATTTGGTACTAACATTATTTCCAGATGTTCTTGTTGTTCTTCTACGCAGGTAGAAACAGTTCAACATGTCTTTAATAGTAGTGAAGCTGTCATCTTCATATGGAACAACATAGGAAATGCATTTGGAATCAAACATCAACAGGAGCCTATTATTGCTACCTTCAAAAGATGGTGGGAGACAACGGCCAACAATAAAGTGCACAATCAAATGCTTCAGATAGCTCCCACAATCATATGCTGGGAACTGTTGTTGATACCCATTTTTTCCCTATATATTTTCTCAATATGCAAAATACCTTCAAAATAGCATATGTATGCATATATAATGTATGTCCAAGTGTTTCATTATTTTCCTCAATTTTTTTAAAGGTTTTTTAATCAATTTATTTCCCTATTTTGCCCATAAAACCCCAATAATTATTTCTAAAATTATCATTTTTGGTGATTCACTTGTTGAAATTTTATATTTATGCTAAAATATAGCTATTGCATATTTTTTTTACAAAACTATTTAGTATTTTTAAGGCTAAATTGCATAATTACAATATTAGCCTCTTCTAGGATTTAATTACGTTTACATTTACAAAAAATTAACTCCGGTATTTTTAAACAGTTAATTATATGTCATAAATCATTTTAGTACCTTTTAATTTAGTTCCAGAAATCAATTTACTATTTTTTAATTTTAAATAGGGGAAAATTGGCTATTTAAATAATAGCCCAATTTCGTTTCAATTGTAGCCTAAATTGACCCCAATCTGAACCCAATTTTCTGACCTAATTCCCATAAACCGACCCACCTAACCCCTTTAATCCCAGCCGTTGATCATTTAGATCAACGGCTCCCGTTCCCCATTACCTTTTTTAACCCTGAACGACCCCAAAACCCTATCATTTTGATACAATCCGCCGCTTTAGAATCCCCTTCCTCTCAAAGTCTCTCTGCAACACCTACACCTAGCCGCCGCCATCAATCTACACACTAATCCATGGCCTTTTGTGGTCATTCGAGACCTGTACCAGCCTTTCATGGCTTCTATGTGTTTGGTTCTAGGGTTTCACGACCAGACTTCGAAGGAGTTTGGTCCAGTCTTTGCTCGACTAGTGTTCATGGCTTTTCTCCGGCCAGCCACGACTTTTTCCGGCCATTTATGGCCTTTCGAGGCGGGTCCTTGACCTTTTCTGGTTAGATCGTTATCTTTCGTGATCTTTCTCGTTTCTTTTGGGTTTTCTGAAACCCTAATCTCTAAGATCTTTCGATTGCTTTCAGATCTACTTTAGATCTGTACTTTCTATGAGTGTTTTAAGTGTTTTCTCGAAAGTTTTTCAATTTTCCTTCAAAAACGACCCTTCATCTTCTCCGATTAGGGTTTTTCCTCTAAATTTTCTTTTCAAAGATCTCTGATTTTAACGTATTTTTGATTTTGCTATGGTTTTGTTCATGTTATTCTTCTATCAGAGTTAGCATGTTAAAACCCTAATTTCTTTTGGGTCTCATTTGAATCCTGAAGTTGTTTGTTTAATGTGTACTTGTTTAACTAAGTTCCTCGTTCTTGTTTGACTTATTTGTGTTACCATTTTTCAAACTCGATTGTTGTTGAAAAGCCCTAGGTCTTTGGGGTCTGAAATTGTTTGAGTACTTGACTCGACTGAAAGCTTTTGTTTTAGACTCTCTTTTCTCTATGTGACTTATCTGATTTTTACTATCTTTCAACTCGACTAAGTTTGAAACCCTAACTTTTTAAAAGGGCTTCCTCACCTGCTACTGTGAAACTTTTGCATGTTTCTGATGCTCTGTTTTCTTCCCTATTAATTCAATGTGGCTTGACCTACTTGATTACTCTGCTTCGAACATTTGCTTTACTACTGAACCCTAGTTTATTTCTGCCACAACTGCCTGTCTGTGATTTTGTCAATAAGTTTGGCCTCGCATGTCTGATGACCTTGTTCACTTTATTTATATGTTGAAGGTTCTTCCTTGATTGATCTTCATCTTGTGACTGATTTCTAAAGTTTCCCTTTTATGAACCGTGATTTCACTCGCCCGTTCAAATTGATTGATTCTTTCCCCTTTACTATGATACTTTGCCTTACTGAATCTTTTCCAAAATAAGTTTATTTCTGTACTTAGACTTGATTACTTACTTAATACTTGTACTACTTGTTTTATGGCAATAATCAGTCTGTCTCTAAACCGATCTCTTTCCTTATTTGAATCTGTTACTACCCGTTAGACAAGTGATTCCTTAATTAAAGGTAATCACTTGTATAATTTATTCTGACTGTTGATTGTTTCCATATTTATACCAAAACTTTACTTATTACCTCTCCTTCACTCGTTTTCAAAAAGCTATATATACCCTGCACCCCTCTTCTTTTAAAGACACGAACAACAAGGAACGAAACACTTGAGTTCAGAACACACACCTCACTAAAAACTCTCTCATTTTTTCTCTGTTACTACTTGTGTTGCTGCCTGACCTAGCCGGCTGAAAGCCAAGGCTAGGCTGTGGGAAATTTGCTTACTTTTCTTTTTGCATTTGCTCCTTTACTAGTATGTTCTAATTAATTTTCCAGCATCGACAACAACATGTTTCTTTACTATTTCCTTCACTCTTGTCTGTTTCCTGCTTGTGTTTAATCAAGTTCCATTACTAAGCATACTGTAATTTGCCCCTTTCTCTTCTGAATTAATGTTTTCTTATGTATGAACTCTGTCAGTCACTTATTATGACTTATGAATCCCAAACCCCTATATCCCCTATGTGTTTGTATTCCTTTGTTGGTTTGGGGGCATGTCAGCATTAGACATTGTTGTGCATGACCCCAAACCTGACCCCTCCTTAGGGTCATATGTTTCACATCCCCTCTATGTGTTGTGTTCTCTGGCTGGCATATGGGCATGCTAGCACCATCTATTGCTGTGTATGCCCAAGCCTGACCCCATCCTAGGGTCATGTGCTCCCCGCAATGTATTCCCTAACCCCTGATCCCTTGTGCAAAAAAATGCTAATTCTGTGTAGTGTTAGCTTTACTACAACTGTTTTCCAATTACTTTTCCCCTTAGCTATTCTCAACCCAGTTTTAAACAAATCCCTGTTTCTGCACTTCCACTATACTCTTAGACTTAGGTTCAGCCCCTCTTGTGTGAGCCTTGCCTTGGGACCCATGAGCTCCCTGTAAACTTGGACACATAAGGGCTGGCCCTTCCACACTATACTCATCTCTATCTGGTTATGCAAACTTGGGTGTAAGCACTGTCCGGGGTCCCTTGAGACCCTTAGGGAACTTTGACACACCCAGGTCCAAGAAAGGCTTTGAAACAAGTGGCATTTGAGGTGATTTGTTCCATAACTCAGAGAGGAAGTCAGAATCAGGCTTCCTATGGTTGTAACTTCTTATTTTCACACTTTTCTGATGTAATTCAGTACTTGGTCTGTAATAATTTGTAATAAACATTGGGGTTGGTTAGTGAAAAGGGCTGGGTAATTATGCATGTTTAACTATTAGAAGGGTAGAGAACATGCCTATATGACCTATTTTCTGTATGATTAATTCAGCATTTCGATAATATGCCTATAGGATTTTTAGCCCGCATGTTTAATTCTGCATTTAGATAACATGCCTATAGGATTTGTCCCAAATTCTGCATGTTTATTACCACACTTAGACACAATGATCCTAGGATCTAAAGGGTTACAATCAGACATCATGCTCATAAGGTTAAAAATCAGTATTTTTTTATAGAAATCATGCCTATAGGAATCTCAAGTAAAGCCTGCCTGCTTCATTTCACGTTCGACTAGATATCATGTCTATAGGAATTAAAAATAAGCAATAGTAGAGATCATGCATATAGGATATGAAACCAGTCTAGTTTAAAATCAGTTTGACTCATACTGTTCTGAAATAATTTTTTTTTAAAACAACTCTCTTTTCTTAATACGGTTTAGAAAGCATGTCTATAGGATCTCAAATCGTTTATTTTAGAACTGTTACTGCTTTGCCATTTTCAAATCGGTAATAGATATCATGTTTATAGGATCTCACCCAAACACTTAGGCAAGCCTTAGGTAATAACAATAAAGACTGAACCCGCCTTTGTTAATCAGTAATTGTTACAACCAGTAGGCAGGCCTGATTCGGACTTCTTATCTGAGTTATGTAATAAATTGGTTTGCTTCAACAACTAAAACTCCCCTGTCTCAGTATTTTAAATTCTGACCTTAAATGTGTTTTAAGTCATGCTATTTATGTGTTCTATTTGAGGAGGTATATCTGAGCCTCTTTGTTGTTTAAATGTTTCCCCTTTAAATGCAGTCCTACGTGTTTTTGTATGTCGCCTTAGCCTTTTACCTTTAAACCTAAGAGTCAGCCTGAAGTCCTCCCTCTTATAGGAATAGTAGTCCTAAATTCCTGCGGGACTGATAGGAATGGGACGGGTAATAGCATGCAATAGAGGTCGAGACCAATCCGCGCTTTAATACCTTAACGGGGTGGGAAGGGTAGATATGGATATGATGATCGGTGCGCTAATACCACGTGTAGCCCCTCTTTAGAGGAGTGATTACCGGGTATTGCATTGATGTGATCCATATTACAAATAAATCTAGGACCCTTCTTGTATTCGTCAGCATGTTTAGTTATAACTCTTTCAAAACTTCGTTTTATTTATGTATTCAAAATCCCCTCTTATTTGAGCCTTATCTGTTTACTTGCTAATTGCACAAATTCACAAAGAACTATCTGGCCGGGAACCACACTAGTGGATCCTGGGGGGTGCTTAAAACCTTCCCCTTGGAATAATTTCAAGCCCTTACCCTATCTCTGGTTATCAAAGAACGTAGTTGTAGTTGAACCCTATAGGTGCCCTAACGCACCTTAAATCGTTAGGTGGCAAATCTTCAAAATTGCAAAACCCCTTTACCAAAAGGAATGAGTTGTCCTATGCCCAAAATGTCATAAACCCGATTTTCCGGTGCAAAGAGGAAAAAAGGGAGCGTGACAGCATGGCGACTCTGCTGGGGATTTTTTTTAGGCTTTTACCATTGCA